GAAACTGAGCTTCCTCTTGTTGAAAGACCAGCATCCGCCACTGGTGCACTGAGATGATGTTTGTTGTGACTTGGCGATGTATACTGTAAATAAACTGAACTGAATTGAATAAGGTCATTCCACATCAATCCTTCATCAAAAACACACCCACTCATTCATGCATGTTTGAGAAATCCCTGAATCTCCCGTGGACCTGCATAATGCTTGCTGGTACAAAGCACCGCCTATTTTACAAAGCTCCTCCCTGGAGCTCAGTCTGCAGCCGAGCTCCCACCCCACAGAGCACCCCTCCCCCAAAACATTTTTGTGAAGACGTGCTGAACTGGGAGTGTCAGAAATGGTAGGTTTTTGAAGAGACAGAGGCCAATTTCAAGGTGTTTAGATAGATGCAAAGTCTAATCTATTTTTGACACAGACAGCACTTTCACTTGATTGTGGTATAGAAATGAACTATGTGCCTGTRAAATACATAATACCTCCCCTTTAATCGCAAGGTCCCAGCTGGAAAACAAGTGTTTTAAGTCTTYACTCTCCGTTCAGCACTGGTTCACTCTACCAACACCCAATAAAACAAAAGCTCCATAGCAGAGAGCAGCTGTCTGCAACAGCTGGAGAATAAACTGGATTTTTTTTAAAAAGAAAGAATAAAAAAGTCCCATTTCTTAAAGGAATGCATGTTGTCCTCCAGCTTTCTTCTTGGAGTTTTAATAGATCATCTCATGTCAAAAACAGAGAAGTTATAAAGGTTTTGATCAAACCTGCTGAATAATGTTTTGTTATAATACTGAGAGGGCCAACCCAGACGTTTAAGACTCACAATAAAACACCGTGTTCTGGTCCCGGCCCAGCACYGGCTGCTGCTGCCCTGAAGCCTGCGTGCTGGGGACAGAGTGGGACAGGTGCCTGGCAGCTGGACGAACTGAAATAGTCCCAGAATGAGTCAGAGGGTGAAAAGAAGGAAGGGATAATTTCATTTCTATTTTCAGGAAGCGTGATGCTTTTCACCTCGCTGGGATCGTCRGGAGGCCAGACTGGAACTGTTGCTCACAAACCCTGCAGCAGCGCACGACTCAGCGTCGTCTCATGATCCCTCAGCAGCAGGAATAATGACATCTAGACTGAACACTGAGCTAATTTAGCATCAGGTCGACAGCAAAAAGTTGAATTATTGCAACACTGATACAACTGATTCGTGCACATCAAAGGGTGAAGGTGGACATTTATGTTTTTGCTCATGTCTGTTTTCATGTTTCTGTCTGTTATCAAAGTATCTCATGAAACATTGAAGCACGTTTTAATGAAATCTGCATAAATTTACATTCAGGTTGGCTGCAGCAGCTAATGCAAGATAAAGACTACATACAACTCAGGTAAATTTACCACTACTGAGCTAAAATTTTGATGTGGTAGAAGCTGGTAATTCATGTTCTTGTGTACTTCAGGTTGCTTCTAGAGCAGGGGTGGGCAATCCTCGTCCTGGGGGGTCGCAGTCCTACATGTTTTACATTTTTCCTGCTCAAACACACCTGATTCAGTCACTGATTTACCTTCCAAGTTCTGCAGTATGGAGGAACAACACTGACATAATATAAATAAAAGCAGAAACATATAAATGAACCACTAAATAAATAAATACACTTAAAATGCACCAATTCAATTAAAAAAGAACTTCACCTCATGTTTTTTAATTTAATTGTCGTCTAATTCAGTGTTTCCCAAAGTTGGGGTCGGGACCCAAAGTGGGGTCCCGAAACATCAAGGTGGGGTCCTGAAA